CCCCCCCCCCCCCCCCCCCTCTCTCTCTCTCTCTCTCTCTCTCTCTCTCTCTCTCTCTGTGTGCGACTTTCAAATCGCCTTTCCGAAGACGTTCAAAGCGGAGATGAACCCATTTATTTTATTTTATTATTTTATTTTTTCGTTTTTTTTTCCCGTTTTTTTCATCCGCTTCACATGGACGTTCGGGATACCTGCGCCCGGTAGTCCCAGCCTGGGCACGGATCGGCGTACCGGTCGGCCGAGGCTCGAACTCGATAGTTGGGCCAGGCACTGGTGGTTTAAGAAGTAAGAAATAGGGAGGAGACAAAGAGAGAGAGTTCTTTGAACTTTCAACAGGTGAGCCGTGTTGTGCGCTTCAGATTCTTCAAGCGTGGAGGGGTGTGGCTGTTGGTGTAAGCTACACACAGTGTTTGTGTGTGTCTTTGCTAAAGACTCGTTGACACACGTCACCCACGAAAACGCACATGGGTGTGCTTGTCTATGTGAGTGTGTGTGTGTGTGTGTGTGTTATCTGTGTGTGTGTGAGTGCGCAAGCGTGTCTGTATGTGCGTGCGTATCCGACAGACTTCCCGTCGTTGGCGAAGACGCGTGCGACTAGGTAGCCGCCAGACCGCTAGCAATCAACCAACTACTTTCGAAATTCGCCTTAAGGCCTTCGTCTCTTTCTTCATTTCCCCGTGTTCGCGCGTTGCAAAGGCTGCGAAGTAGACTGTAGACAACGGCTCCCCTTTTCTTTTTGGGGTTCGCTTCCACCCGAGGACCGGTCCTTCCTTTTTCCAAAAGTCCCAGTTATAGAAGAACTAGTTGTAGGTCGTTCACAATATCTTGAAGGACCAGTCCCCCCAAAATTTTCACCCCCTAAGAACCCACTTGCATCCTGGTCCCCGGCCGCCGAAAATGCAACACCTTGACACAGACGTTGAAGCCCACTATACCACAGCCTTAGGGCTGCGAACACTAGATCTCTGAGAAAGAACCACGCGAGACCAGATCGCCACCCCATCTCACCCATCCCACGGAACAAGCTACTTTTGGGAGAGCACCAATTCGAAGGTGAAGTTTGCGGTTGTGGTGAGGTGCGGTCCGGCATCTGTGTCCAAAAGCCCGAATTTTGGCGGTGGACGACCACTACAAAATAAACCCTCTATGGGTTCAAATTTCGGTATGATCGGTCCTTCCAATGCTTGCGGACGACCGACAACCTTAACCCTCCAGTACTTAGCCCAACCATTGAGTCCGAGCCTCAACCGACGAGTATGCCACCCCAAGGCTGGAGCTACCGGGCGTCCGCCATCCCAACCTACTTCAAGTCGAAAAGTCCAAAAAGAAAAAAAGAAAAAAAACAATGTTAAAAAAAATAAGAATAATAAGGTAAACAATTTATACTTATGACAAAAAAAAAACACGGAATCCTTTTGGGTTCCCTTTCTGCGTACGCACGACAGGGAAAGAGGGAGAGGCAAAGAGTGAGGGAAAAAATATATATATATATTTAATTTTTTGAAAGCACAGTCCCAGCAAGAGGGGACCTTCCCACCACTCGTGATTGATAGGTGGTGTCATTTTCGACGAATTTTGACGATTTCTTTAACCGAAATTGCCATATTTTTCTAAATTTGTACTTTTTTTTTATATATATTTTTTCTGATATGTATGTACTTTAAGGTATTTATACTCAGTTTCGACGTATTTGGACCAATAACGAAAAAATTGGTAAGAACACAGAATTTTGACAAAGATTCAACAAACTCTAAAACCTACTACTATGAATTTTTATCAAAAATGTTGGTAGCGTCTTCCTTAGGGAAGGAAACTCTCATAACTTTTATTAACTCAGAAACTAGTCAAGATCTTACCAAAGCAAACATTCACGAAAAGACAATGCGAGAATAAAAATAGACGACTACCTACTTATCACCCACTCATAAGGCGAGCACTAACAAAATAAACTTTCAAACCGAAATAACAAATTAGATGAACGAAAGACGGAATGCATTAGACCAACTACACAACACAAAGGTTCATAGGTTTAAATTCATCTCTGTATTAATATGTGCAATCGTTTTTTCTTAAAAAATGTCTTGTATATGAGTTAACAATTTTTTACTCAAAAATTGTCTTTATTTAGTCACAAGATAAATAATTAGGAATTCCTCAGTGAATTCGACTCAATTGCAAAAATGAACACGATAAGCAACTAAGGAATCCGCAGTAGACTCAAGCAGTCTCATAGAAAAACAAAGTAAAAAACGATAAATGAACGATTTAAGAATCGAAAGTAGACTCAAGTAGTTGCCGAGATAAACATAGTAAAAAAAATAACAAATGATTGAAAAATCTGCATTAGACTCAACCCAATCGTCTAGATAAGCATTGCAATACGAAACAACACACGATTAAGAATTTCGAAGTGGACTCAACCCAATCGTCTAGATAAGCATCGCAATACGAAACAACACACGATTAAGAATTTCGAAGTGGACTCAACCCAATCGTCTAGATAAACATCATAAAATGAAACAACAAACGACTGAGGAATCCGCAGTGGACTTAACCCAATTATGTAATTCAATAGAACGGATCATATACTCGTTAAGTTGATTTATTTGCATGCAAATGAATTAAACAAGGTTAGTAAGTTTTCTTTGATTTAATTATAGTCCTGAAACATAAGCCAAAAGAAAAATATACAAAAATCTCAAAACCAAACAAATAACGCGGGGTCGTATGAGTAGGGATTTATTACGATTCTAATGGAATCGTGTCGCCCTACCTCTCATCCCCCTGCCTCTAGAGTTCCGTCGGAACCCCAACAAAGCTCCACAATCTCGTGAGCTCGTAAAATGTTGGGATCCTGCTAGCCGTCCTCCTTCCATGAAGCCTCACAAGAAAAGAGTAACTGATAGTAGAAAAATAAGAAGGAACTTCTCAGACTCTCGGATACAAGGAAAGTGCGCTTAAGCCCTTGAGAGAAGGTCCTGACTGATAAGTCATAACCAAATATGTGTGTGTGTATGTATGTGTGTGTGTGTGTGTGTGTGTGTGTGTGTGTGTGTGTGAGAGAGAGAGAGAGAGAGAGGGAGAGAGAGAGAGAAAGAGGGAGAGAGAGAGAGAGAGAGAGAGAGAGAGAGAGAGAGAGAAAGAGAGAGAGAGAGAGAGAATGGATGTGTGTGTGTGACTTGCGTGTCCTGCCATGCATCATTTTGGAAATACACTTGTTGCAAGCATTGTTTCAACCTGGGCTCATCTACCATTTGTATCGCGCACTCAAGTGTCACTAAGAGTGAGGCTTACATGTGAGATCGGTCCCTTGAAATTCTTACCTACCGGTACCGCCTCCTTAGACCACCAATACTTTGGCCATACATCGGCCGCATGCCTCTTCCGTTAGTGCACCGCTCTGAACGGGAGTCGGTCAAGTTAGCGCCTGGTCAGTTCTGTAAGGCCGGGTTGAGGCTATTTCGAGATGGTACAAAGACATCGAGAAAAAAAAAAAAAAAAAAAAAAACCAATGTAAGAAAATATAGAGAAACAAAGATGTTTTTTTTCCAGTTCCACGCGCG